GCAATCCATTGATACTGTTTACCTCGTCAACAAAGGACATCCAAAATAGAATTTAGAATGCAAGAATGATTGGACTGATAGGCTTCAAATGCATCAGTTTATATTTCCCATCTCACGACTTTTCTTAAAGGTGTTCATAGGTCAGAAGAGAATGTTTTACACAAACTTCAATAGATTTCTCGATCTAATCATGACATAAATTCATCTTTACTTCCCAATAAATTCAAAGTAAAGATGCTGTGTTTTGATCTATTTTGTGTTGCAACGCTTTTTTTGGGATCAAATCCGGTTTGCAACGAGACTCATATAAGTGCAACAAGGCATGAACTCTGCTGCATTCTATTCCGCTATGAGCTCATCGGAAGGTACACTTGCATTTGCTTTGCAGCGCATGTGAGTTAAGTAATTTTATTTGACGCCGTGTTCAGAAGCAAAATCTATCTTGGCACCTGTCTTGGGTCAGTTTCATGAGCTTGCAAAAGCCAAGGACTTCAAGAAGGTATGCTCAATCGAGATAGCTTGTTCCCTTATTGTTTTCTTTTTCTTGGAGGTGGGAGGGGGAGGATTTTGATTGCAATCTGATTTTTCCACCAGCGCTAGTACTTCATTGCTTTTCAATGTGTAAATCAATTGCATTCATCACTAATATCAAAATTATTGTCAGCTTGCTGCCTTCTACGATCCAGACGCTGTTTTCGTCCATGCTGGAAAGGATATAATTTACGGAAGAGAAGGTAAGAAGTGCCACTCGAAGTAACTAGGATAACGAGCTTTGAACGTTTGCTGAAAATTTTATGTTAATATATCATCCAAACTCTATCATAGAACTGAGCGCCCTTATTTTAGCTCTAGTAAAGAGTTTTGAAGATTTTCTGGCAAGCGCAGGTAAGCTGACGCGAAAGGTAACCTGTCAGATGTAACCCATAATTCGAGTACTTGCAAGTCTTGCTTATTCAGAGTTCCGACGAACAGTATAGCATGTGTGAAGACTTCATCATTCTGACAGCCAACTATGAGACAGAAACGGAAAAGTTGGGAGTGCTGAAAGGAAAGTTCACTCAAATTTGGCGCAAAAACAATAACACGTATATGTTACTACATTTCGAGGATGCACTAACATAGACGAAATATTGTAGAACTGCTTTTATCCGAGATTTTACAAGGCGGTGCGTTTGGCGTCTATTTGCAAAACATAGCGAGATAAATGAAATGAACTTTCGATTTTGAGTCTTGACTGGTATAGTTTTTTTATGGAAAGCATCAATGAATTGTGCAACTCTTTTTTATAACCATTTTTTTCATGACAGTTTCCTATACCTGATTTGATCTTGCTGAGTCGTAGACCGCTGACGTTGTCTCTTCAGCAAATCCTCCGCTTGGCAGTA